CTTATACCTTGACTACAATAGTCACCTTTCTTGTATCACATCTTTACAATGTCAAGCTATTACCAACTTCATCTTATACCTTGACTACAATAGTCACCTTTCTTGTATCACATCTTTACAATGTCAAGCTATTACAAACTTTGTCTTATACCTTGACTACAATAGCTACCTTTCTTGTATCTTCAAAATGTCAATCTATTGTCTTATACCTTTGTCTTATACCTTGACTACAATAGTCACCTTTCTTGTATCTTCACAATGTCAATCTATTGTCTTATACCTTTGTCTTATACCTTGACTACAATAGTCACCTTTCTTGTATCACATCTTCACAATGTCAAGCTATTACAAACTTCATCTTCACAATGTCAAGCTATTACAAACTTCATCTTCACAATGTCAGGCTATTACAAACTACATCTTCACAATGTCAAGCTATTACAAACTTCATCTTCACAATGTCAAGCTATTACTAACTTCATCTTCACAATGTCAAGCTATTACTAACTTCATCTTCACAATGTCAAGTTATTACAAACTTCATCTTCACAATGTCAAGCTATTACAAACTTCATCTTCACAATGTCAAGCTATTACAAACTTCATCTTCACAATGTCAAGCTATAACAAACTTCATCTTCACAATGTCAAGCTATTACAAACTTATTTTATGTACTAATACCTTGACTGAAATAGTCATCTTTCTTATATCATATCTTCACAATATCAAGCTATTACGAACTGTGTCTTATACCTTGACTGCAATAGCCACTTTTCATCAAATACACAAACAGGCCACTCAATATTATGGTGTCTGTGTTTTGCCAACTTGTTGATTTTTGTTGTTTGGTTGGTGCCTGTATTATTTACGATTAATACAGATATACTTAAGGGTAAAAAGGAACGTGTGTAATATTTGAAATTGTAATAAGGCAGAATGTTTATATTTTTATAGCAAGATATAACTGTAGACCAGGAGAATGGGCGTGTCCCCACAATGGAAAGTGTATCTCTATTTATAATGTCTGTGATAATAAGAGAGATTGTGATAAAGATGAAGATGAAGTTATGTCTTGCAGTAAGTATCAGATGAACCAACCAAAATTTTCGTCTGTCATATCGGAGACACAGTGGCTTGGTCAGTTGATTACTCGCTCGCTGACAGGGTTCGTTACTGGTACCAGCATAGGTTGAGATATGCAGATCAGAAGGGCTGACATGGAAAAAGCATCTAGTCATTAGGATGGGACGATAAACCAAGGCCCTGTGTTGTTCAGACTGTGTACAGAAGAGATCTTTGAAAATCAGAAACTCTCAGTTGTTCACTAACCAACCCAGGTTTTCCCTCATCAGTGATGCAGGTCAGAGGGAAAAGGCAAATGCTGGTGTCTTGGCAAAATTTCCCTCATTGCACACTGCATTTCAGTTCAAATAATTGCAGTGAATTGTCGTGTGATCACCAGGCCCTGTGTGCTATAGGATACTTACCCCTTGACATTTGATGCCACTGTCCTGGTAAAATTTCCCTCATTGCACACTGCATTTCAGTTCGAATAATTGCGGTGAATTGTCGTGTGATCACAAGTCCCTGTGTGCTATAGGATATTTACCCCTTGACATTTGATGCCACTGTCCTGGTAAAATTTCCCTCATTGCACACTGCATTGGGTTGCCATTAACCCTTTCCATTTCAGTTCGAATAATTGCGGTGAATTGTCGTGTGATCACAAGGCCCTGTGTGCTATAGGATATTTACCCCTTGACATTTGATGCCACTGTCCTGGCAAAATTTCCCTCATTGCACACTGCATTGGGTTGCCCATCTTCATTAACCCTTTCCTTTTTATTTCAGGTTGGATTAATTGCGGTGTATTGTCATGTGATAATAAATGTCGATCAACGCCATCTGGTGGAGTTTGTCATTGTAATGTAGGATATCATATCACCCCGGATAATAATAGAACCTGTGTAGGTCAGTATTTTTCATATTGGTCATCAATTTTCATCTTTCTGCTTTAAAGCTAAGATTCCATATACGCGTCATGCTGATCCGTCAAGCGTCATCCATCATGCGTTAAAAATCGAAATGGTTGGTTTAAGAGGGTATGATTCCATATACACATCATGCTGATCCGTCTTGCGTCATCCATCATGCGTTAAAAATCGAAATGGTTGGTTTAAGAGGGTATGATTCCATATATGAGGAAGCGGTATCCGTCAAATGGTCTCCGTCGGGTGTAGAGATTTTTGACGCATCCGGACGTATTTGTGGGGATTCCCTGTCTTTTTTATGCACCAAAGCATCCATCTGTCTAGAAGTCTGTGCGTCAAAAGAAAGAAAACGCATACGTTTAACGCACATATGGAATCATATTTGACGCATGACGGATCCGCAAATGCCATTTATGTCCGCATGACACGTATATGGAATCTTAGCTTTCAAAGGATGCTGGAGCCACGGTGACTCAGTGAGTTAGATGCTTGCTCGGTAATTTGAAGGTCCAGGGTTCAATCCCAGCATAGGTCAAGATAATACCTTCAGATTTTTCAACCCAGTTTCCCCCTGTCAGTGAGTTAGATGCTTGCTCACTAATCTGAAGGTCCAGGGTTCAATCCTATCATAGGTCGAGATAATACCTTCAGATTTTTCAACCCAGTTTCCCCCTGTCAGTGAGTTAAACGCTCGCTTGCTAACCTGAAGGTCCAGGGTTCAATCCCAGCATAGGTCAAGATAGTACCTTCAGATTTTTCGATCCAGTTTCCCCCTGTCAGTGATGTAGGTCAGATTGGTGTATGAACATTTGTACAGCAAACTGTGCACATGAATTTCCCACATTACACACTGCATGGTGTTGCCCGTTTTCATTAGCCTAATCAGAAGCAGAATAGTAGGATGTAAAACTCCATTCAATTTATTTCAGATTTTAATGAATGTGGACAATGGGGATACTGTGATCAGGGATGTCAGAATAAAGTTGGGTCGTTCGAGTGTCAATGTACTGATGGTTATACGCTGGTTGGTATCCGAACATGCCGAGCTCAAAACAGTAAGTAATACCAAAGTCCTGTGCATGCCGTGGTGGGCGTATATGGCTGTGGTCCACTATTTTATTATCTGTGATTTTGTTAGTTGATTTTGCAATATCAATCAAAATAGAAACCTTGTCTAGGGTTAAATGAGATTCTTAAAATGAGGACTGACTGTTGCTCATTTAATTAGAGTGTTGAAATCTTAACATGACATCATTTAATTATAGGTGATGATATGAGGCTGTATATTATCGATGAAGGGAATTTATTATCCATGGATAAATCTGGAGATATCACACAGAAATTGTCGCTTTCTGATACGCAGGATATCGAATTGGATTTACGAAATAATCAGATGTTTTGGGTCAACAAATCGAAGGTAAGTTTAAAATTTTCTTTGACAGAAAAGGGATTGTGAAGAGGTTTTCAAAATTTCCCTCATTGCACACTGCATGTTATTACCCACTTTCATTATTCTTTTTCAGATGTAGAATAGTAGGATGTAAAACTCCACTCATATTTCTTTCTATTTTGTAGATATATCGAGCTAGTATTGACAATTGGACGGAAAAACAACTTCTACCAATCAAAGGTCTGATTAATCCGACACAGATTCTCTATGATTGGGTGGGATATAATCTCTACTATCTGGACGAGGAAGCCATTAGAATTGATATGTATTCGCTGAGTTCCAAATTACAGAGAAATATCATTTCGGACAATATTCGAACACCAAAATCTTTCACCATCGACCCCATTCATGGGTAAGTTTAAAAGAATTTAAACTGATAAGGATTCTGTTAAAATAAAATTAGACCAAACTTTCGTTCTGTTTTTTATTAGCTTTTATGTTTAATATAGCCGGTTCAGTTAGGGTCTAACGACAGCCCTCTTGAACGTTCGTCAATTAACCTTTTGACCTAACTCAATGACGTCTGCTTTGCCCAATCAAATTTCTCCAGCGCTGTGACGCGGTGTTTATCAAGTGGCTAGATTTAAAATGAAAATTTGATCTAATTTTAATTGGACTTTAAGGGGTCTTAGATGCGTTTTGTTTACATGATCCTCATCAGGACAGTTAGTTTCAGAAATGGAGGTTAACTTTCTAATATAGGACTTAATGTTAGCTAATTGATTAGAGCTCATCTCATACTGCTGACATGTTTCTGATACACAATCCTCATCAGGACAGCTAGTTTTAGAAATGGAGGTTAACTTTCTAATATAGGACTTAATGTTAGCTAATTGATTAGAGCTCATCTCATGCTGCTGACATGTTTCAGATACACAATCCTCATCAGGACAGTTAGTTTCAGAAATGGAGGTTAACTTTCTAATATAGGACTTAATGTTAGCTAATTGATTAGAGTTCATCTCATACTGCTGACATGTTTCTGATACACAATCCTCATCAGGACAGCTAGTTTTAGAAATGGAGGTTAACTTTCTAATATAGGACTTAATGTTAGCTAATTGACTAGAGTTCATCTCATACTGCTGACATGTTTCTGATACACAATCCTCATCAGGACAGTTAGTTTCAGAAATAGAGGTTAACTTTCTAATATAGGACTTAATGTTAGCTAATTGACTAGAGCTCATCTCATGCTGCTGACATGTTTCAGATACACAATCCTCATCAGGACAGTTAGTTTCAGAAATGGAGGTTAACTTTCTAATATAGGACTTAATGTTAGCTAATTGATTAGAGCTCATCTCATACTGCTGACATGTTTCTGATACACAATCCTCATCAGGACAGCTAGTTTCAGAAATGGAGGTTAACTTTCTAATATAGGACTTAATGTTAGCTAATTGACTAGAGCTCATCTCATACTGCTGACATGTTTCTGATACACAATCCTCATCAGGACAGTTAGTTTCAGAAATGGAGGTTAACTTTCTAATATAGGACTTAATGTTAGCTAATTGACTAGAGCTCATCTCATACTGCTGACATGTTTCTGATACACAATCCTCATCAGGACAGCTAGTTTCAGAAATAGAGGTTAACTTTCTAATATAGGACTTAATGTTAGCTAATTGATTAGAGTTTATCTCGTGCTGCTGACATGTTTCAGATACACAATCCTCATCAGGACAGCAAGTATTTGAAAAGTTTAGTCTGTATATTTATTATTTTTTGTAGGTATATGTTTTTTGTGGATGTTGGACGTAAATCAAAGAGAAATTCAGCTAAAATCGAAAGAGCGTTTATGGACGGAAGTCATCGACTAGATTTAAAATTAAATAAGTTATTATTACCAGTTAGTATTACAGTTGATATTATCAACGAAAGAATCTTCTGGGTGGATTCTCATCTCGATCATATTGAAACCGTCAACTATCATGGACTAGATAGGTACGTAACTTCTAATATTACTAAGACAGAAAGAAACAACTATATTTTACAAGGATCCTTTCTACCAGCTGATCCTTGGTCAAACCTCTTGGTATTAATTTTACAAGGATAACAACTTAGGTTCACATGGATCCTTTCTACCAGCTGGTCCTTGATCAAACCTCTTGGTATTGATTTTACAAGGATAACAACTTAGGTCTACAAGAATCCTTTCTACCAGCTGGTTCTTGATCAAACCTCTTGGTATTGATTTTACAAGGATAACAACTTAGATTTACAAGAATCCTTTCTACCAGCTGATCCTTGGTCAAACCTCTTGGTATTGATTTTACAAGGATAACAACTTAGGTTCACAAGGATCCTTTCTACCAGCTGATCCTTGGTCAAACCTCTTGGCTTTGATCTTTCTTGGATTATCTGTACCCATTTACAGCTGGGTCGATGGGAATTATGAGTGAAGATGACTAACTCAACCGAGATTGGAACCCACAGTCGCCATTTGTTCGACGTAACCAAGCAAATGATGTCATAGATTCCAACGCTCAAGCCCTAACAATTCCTCAGAAGAAAGTTGGCTGGCATAATTTCCCTCATTGCACACTGCATGGCATTGTCTGTCTTCATTAGCTCAGGTTTCATTTCTAAGAAGAGAGAGAAAAAACCGTAAATCAAAAATGATAGTACAGGAAGCCATCTGCCAGCCAAAATTTCCCTTATTGCACACTGCATGGCATTGCCTGTCTTCATTAGCCCAATCAGGTGCAGAAGTACAAATTCGACCTACCAGACCTTTGAGATGCCTCAAAATTTCCCTCATTGCACACTGCATGGCATTAGCCCAATTAGGGCTCCCTTCTTCTTCAAACTCTATAAGGAAAATTTATGCAAGAATTTGGAATACGTGATTGGTTAATTTGGAATTTGCTACTTTCAGGAGAACTATTCTATCTGGTGGTATCCAAGTTCCGTCAGCGCTGTCATTGGCTGTATTCGAGGACTATGTTTATTGGACGGATGCTACGAAGAAAGGCGTATTGAAAGTGAATATGTACGGAGGGGACCCTGAACAGATATATGAAACGCGGGGCAATATTGTGGGCTCTATTAAAGTTTCTCATATAAACAAACAACCCGAACCAGGTATGTATATTGAAAGACGGAAGAAACTTCCAAAATTAGGCTCGCTCTGGTTTGGACCCGCGATTTCAAATTTTTGATCTTATAGTTCTTAAAGGGACAGCTGCGCCATTTTTTTGTCCAATCATACTTTAGTCTCTGAAACAGGAATTTTTTTAGCTAAGCTAATCAGTAATAGTGTTCACAGCTCACTGTCGAAATTTGAGTCTTCAAATCCATGTGTGTCCAGAATTATCTACTTTTGAATGTTAAAAAGACGAGTCGTTATTTTAACAGAATTGAATATTTGAATATAGACATCTATAGAAATAGAAAGTTAAATTCCTAGGTTGAGATATTTTTAAAGGAATTATGTGATTTTCATACATTTCAAGTATTTCTGAAGACTATTTACATATATTCAAGACTCAAATCAACCAAGCCAAGGACCATGTATAGTGTATTGTTGTATTTTTAAAGGAATTATGTGATTTTGGTACATTTCTAGTATTTCTGAAGACTATTTACATATATTCAAGACTCAAATCAATCCCCCAAATTCCCCACCTGTCCCTTTAACTCCTAATTAGCTGAGTTTGTGATATTTTTGTAGAGAAATACCCATGTAAAGATAATATCTGTCAACAGATCTGTATAATATCTCACACGACGGATAACTCTGGACTGGGATATCGATGTTTGTGTGGGGCAGGGTACCAGCTTGCGGATGATTCCATCAACTGCACAAGTATGTATGATTTTATATGTAAAAATTTCCCTCATTTTACACTGCTTGGCTTTGCCTGTCTTCATTAGCCTAATCGGATGCAGAAAAGCAGAATGTTAAACTATTTTTGGTGCAGGCACACGAACGGTCTAAGTCAGAGATTTTTGTCGCAGACTAGAGTCTTGTCAGTTTCACAGACTGGCATTGGCACACGAGTGGACAAAAATCTCCAGCACGGAGCATGTAATTGAAAGGAAAATGAATCTGATTGGATGATGACGGTCTGTCTAACAGATGATAAAAATATCAGAGACAATTATCAAACTTGTTTAATATTATAAATCCTGTCGGTGACGCAATAATCTTGTCATGAAATTTTACTCAAGATTCGAGTCAGCGACAAAAATTGGCAGCCACGACTGTACGTGTGCCCGCACCATTACGCTATTATGTGGTAGGTGATTAGCATATGACGGCCTACAACAGAAATTGTGGTGCTTTGTATAATTTCATCAGATCTTAAAGTTGAAATCACCCTCTGCAAAAACAGAAAACCCAGAACGAACGGATCTGCATTTTATTCAAATTACTTTTTCACTTTTTTTGTAGAGATCGATAAATTTATATTATTTGCCTCAATGCATGCCGTACGAGGAATTCCTGTAGAAGAATCAGACACGTATTCCGTGGATGCCATACAACCAATCATCGGACCAAGTCGAGGCCGTAATGGCCGAAACTACGTAGCAGTTGACTATATAGCTGAAAATGAAACCGTATTTTTTTCTGATGTTCGAAATCTTGTTATTTATCAAGGAAAGTTAGGTGATTCAGGTAAGTTAATCTGATATCTTCGGCCTGGCGTAAGAAAGTTTCTAACTTTCAATTCTTTTGCCTGGTCTACTTTAATAAAAAACTTGGTCGTGTTTCTCAAAATATCTAATGATGATTATGTTCATTTAAAATTGATATACTTCCTCATGTGAGCAGTTTTGTGCCAGACAGGGTATGCCTACTCTTCTAGACACCTGATATCACTTTTCATTATGAAATACTTACTCACTTATAATTGATATACTTCCTCATATGAGCAGTTTTGTACCAGGCAGGGTATGCCTACTCTTCTAGACACCTGATACCACTTTTCATTATGAAATACTCACTCACTTATAATTGATATACTTCCTCATGTGAGCAGTTTTGTGCCAGGCCGAGAATGCTTACTCTTCTAGACACCTGATACCACTTTTCATTATGAAATACTTACTCACTTATCATTGATATACTTCCTCATGTGAAAAGTTCATTAGCTGCTACCAATGTTTCGCTAAAATGTTTGGATTTTCGGGTGTAGAAAAGTAGTACGTAAAACTCAATTTCATTTTGGTTTGTAATTTTATAATGCATTCCCTTTGGTTGTCCGTCTTCATGAAATGAAACTGGTTTCCGAAAAGTAAGATGAATAACTCTTCATGTTCGTTTCATGTTCATTTCATGACTGTTTCATTTTTGTTCATGTTCATTCCATTTTCATTTATAATCATTTCATGTTCGTTTCATGTTCTTTTCATGGTCATTTCATGTTCGTTTCATGTTGGATTCATGTTCATTTCATTTTCATTCATAATCGTTTCATGTTCTTTTCATGTTGGATTCATGTTCATTTCATGTTGGTTCATGTTCGTTTCATGTTCATTCATATTCATTCTGTTTTCATTTCATGTTCATTCATGTTCATTCTGTTTGATTTTTAGATCCAGTCCCACTAGTTGTTAACAGTATTAGAACGGTAGAAGGTCTGTCAGTAGACTGGATGTCCAAGAATTTGTATTTTACCGATTACGCTCAGAGAACAGTGTCTGTGGTCCGAATCGAACAGCCTGGAGACAGACGTGACATCATCAAAGACTTGGGAAATCCCAGATCTATTGTTGTCAACCCCTTAAAAGGGTAGGTTTTTTAACAAAATATATTATGACCCCTCGGTGTAAGGTGGACAATTCTGTCGCCCCTGCTACATTTGGGCTAACATGGAAAAAGTCGTTCAGATGGGACAGTAAACTTAGGCCCCGTGTGCTAAAGTCTGTGTACGTTAAAGATCCCTCGACAGTTGGAAATTGGTAAAGAGTTGCTATCATGGCTAAATTTCCCTCATTGAACACTGCATGGCGTTTCCTGTCTTCATTAGCCCAATCTGGTGCAGAATTCATTTGATTTGTGATTCCTGCAATTCTACTAGATGACGTCACTAATTGCCAAGGGCCTTATGTGATATTTTGCGATAGTAAAGGCATCAAACACTTAGTTTTAGTGGAATTGCAGGAACCACAGACATCTGATTGAAAATTGGAATGATGTAAATTGATGCTATCAGTGTCCCTGATACAAATAAAAAATTTAGAAAACCTCTTTACAATCTCTTTAACAAGAACCACAGACGTCTGATTGAAAATTGGAATGGTGTAAATTGATGCTATCAGTGTCCCTGATACACATAAAACATTTAGAAAACCTCTTTACAATCTCTTTAACAAGAACCACAGACGTCTGATTGAAAATTAGAATGATGTAAATTGATGCTATCAGTGTCTCTAATACACATAAAAAATTTAGAAAACCTCTTTACAATCTCTTTAACAAGAACCACAGACGTCTGATTGAAAATTGGAATGATGTAAATTGATGCTATCAGTGTCCCTGATACACATAAAAAATTTAGAAAACCTCTTTACAATCTCTTTAACAAGAACCACAGACGTCTGATTGAAAATTGGAATGGTGTAAATTGATGCTATCAGTGTCCCATGAATCGAAATTTTGAATTTGATTTTTACTAGGGTGATATTTTTCTCTGATTGGTTGAGAAACTCGATGCAGACGGCGTATATCGCTAGGGCGTACGGAGATGGTAGTAACGTCACCAAGATAAGACAACATCAACTTGGCTGGCCGAATGGTTTGTGCGTTGATTTTGAAGCGGATCGTTTGTATTGGGTGGATGCTTATTTTGACAGGTCAGTTTACTTTCGTATTGTTTTTTTTTTTAATTTGAAAAGGGTTACTGATGGCTGTAACTGAGCTCTATCAGATGAAAAAAGACGTGTTTATATTATGAAGGATCTACTTACATAAAAAATTGAGAAAACCTCTTTACAATCCTTTTAACTTTTTTTTTTGCAGAATTCAAAGTTCTGATTTTAACGGCAATGATTTGACCACGTTAGAAGGACATTCTATAACTCATCCATTTGGAATTTCCGTTTATAAAGGTAATATTTTATTACTGTTTTTCAGTGTAATTAAAATTAAACCCAACTTTCATTTCATTTTTTAGTCTAGTCACTTCAGTTAGGGTCTAACGACGGCCTTCTTGAACATTCTTCAAATGACCTTTTATTTTTTATTAGCTTTTATTTTTAATTTAGTCACTTCAGTCAGTTAGGGTCTAAAGACAGCCGTTTGAACATTCGTCAAATTAACCTTTTGACCTAACCTAGAAAGGATCCTTATGAACCTAAGTTGTTACCCTTCTCTCCATTTTTGTCTGTGAGTGTATTCAAGAAAGCACTGGCCTAGGACATGAATTAAGGATTTTTATGTTTGCTTTCAGATAGTATATATTTTACCGACTGGAGGATGGAAGCCATTTTGAAAATTGATAAAAATGGTGGAAAAGAACGAAGAATTCGATCAGGGATTGGGAAAATGATGGGAATTAAGATTTTTGATAAAGATTTACAACCAATATCTTGTAAGTATCAGTCTTATACCTTGACATCAATTGGCATTTTCTTGTGTCACTGAAGTTTGTAAATGTAGCAATTTTGTATGCTATTATAATCTCTGTCTAATACCTTGACATCATTTGGCATCTTTCTTGTATCACTGAAGTTTGTAAATGTAGTGATTTGATTGGATTATACACTAACAAATACAGCCAATCAGAGGCCTTGATTGAAAGTCTGTTAGCCTACAATCCAATCCCTCAAGTGGAGAAAAGAATTTTAAGAATAGATTTTCATCTGTAATATTTTTATATTTTTGTAGCTCAGAATCCATGTACACGAAGAAACGGAGATTGCTCCCATTTCTGTTTCCCGGTACCAGTCAGTCCTAGTTTAATAATAATAGGCCGTCACTGTGCCTGTCCCTATGGTTTCAAACTGAAAGAAGATCAACGATCGTGTGAACCCAATCCCAACGAACCTAACCCCGCCTCCTGTCCGTCTGGTTTGTACGAATGTAGAAATAGACGATGTATACCTCAATCGTATAAATGTGATCGAGACAACGACTGTCTGGATAATTCTGATGAAGACGATTGTCCGACAGGTTAGTTGTTATTTCAGCCATCCGTGTCCCTTTTCAGAATTAAAATCTGATGTCTGGGTTCATTGCAATTAAGTAGAAAATTGTAATGTCTGTATGAGCAAAGGTTAGAAGCTTGAGATACCTCCTTGAGAACAGACAGAGCTCAATTTCAGCCATCTGTGTCCCTTTTGAGAATTGATATCTGCCGTTAGTTCCCTTACAATGTAACATCAGAAAGTAAACACCCCATTTTCAAAACTAGCTGTCCTGATGAGGATTGTGTATCAGAAACATGTCAGTAGCATGAGATGAGCTCTAGTCAATTAGCTAACATTAAGTCCTATATTAGAAAGTTAACCTCCATTTCTAAAACTAGCTGTCCTGATGAGGATTGTGTATCAGAAACATGTCAGTAGCATGAGATGAGCTCTAGTCAATTAGCTAACATTAAGATCTATATTAGAAAGTTAACCTCCATTTCTAAAACTAGCTGTCCTGATGAGGATTGTGTATCTGAAACATGTGTCAGCAGTATGAGATGAGCTCTAGTCAATTAGCTAACATTAAGTCCTATATTAGAACATTTAATTAGCTGTCCTGATGAGGATTGTGTATCTGAAACATGTCGGCAGTATGAGATGAGCTCTAGTCAATTAGCTAACATTAAGTCCTATATTAGAACATTTTCAAAACTAGCTGTCCTGATGAGGATTGTGTATCTAAAATGTGTTTATTGCTTGAAATGAGCTCTTGTCTACTGAAAAACTAGCTGTCCTGATGAGGGTTGTGTATCTGAAACAAATCAATGTTATTTTCTAGATGTAACATGTGCCAGTAATAAATATCAATGTTATTTTCTAGATGTAACATGTGCGAGTAATAAATATCAATGTAATAATGGACGATGTATCAGTGAAGTTTGGCTCTGTGATGGAGATAACGACTGTGGAGATATGTCCGATGAAAAAAATTGTCGTAAGTCTTTAACAATTTTAATCACCCCCATGATGTTGAAGCAAATGACGTCAAATTTTCACGCTCACTGACAATAAGCGATATTTTTTAGCGGAGAAGAGTAGGATGTAAAACTCTATCTTGTATAATTTCAGCGGAGAAGAGTAGGATGTAAAACTCTATCTTGTATAATTTCAGCGGAGAAGAGTAGGATGTAAAACTCTATCTTGTATAATTTTAGCGGAGAAGAGTAGGATGTAAAACTCTATCTTGTTTCCTTTCAGCGGAGAAGACGTGTCGTCCAGATGAATTTCGATGTAATAATTCACTGTGTATATCTCAAGCTCTCGTCTGTGATACTGATAATGATTGCGGTGATAGTTCGGACGAGGGAGAATTTTGTAGTAAGTTTATTTAACGAACTTATTTAACGCCAAATTGTAACGAACTTATTTAACGCCAAATTGTAACGAACTTATTTAACGCCAAATTGTAACGAACTTATTTAACGCCAAATTGTAACGAACTTATTTAACGCCAAATTGTAACGAACTTATTTAACGCCAAATTGTAACGAACTTATTTAACGCCAAATTGTAACGAACTTATTTTAAGGGAATACTTTCTCTTTAAATGAACGTGAATTTTAAAACTTGGTCAATAAGAGTATGTATTCCTAAAGGTGCGGGCACATGAATGGTCTTGGTGGCTGATTTTTGTCGTCGACTAGAATCTTGTCAAGAGTTTCACTGACTGGCTGCGGCAGACAAGGACAAAAATCTCCAGTCGGTCATTTGGAGCATGTAATTGAAAGGAAAATGAATCTGATTGGATGATGACAGTCTGTCTTACAGATGATAAAACTATCTGAGACAATTATCAAACTTGTTTGATATTATAAATCCTGTCGGCATGGCGATAATCTTGTCGAGGAAGCATGGGAACACGTGAGATTTTACTCAAGACTCTTAATCAGCGACAAAAATCTCCAACCAAGACCCGCACCTTAAGTGATCTTACCTGGAGTCACGATATTTTTCTGATATATCTCCGACAGAGATTAGAACTCCTGACCACCATTAGTTGACTACCGTTTTCCGACATAACCAAGCAAATGACATCAAGTAAATATTCCACCACTCTAACCAACTAGGCTACAGCCTGTTCTCGTTTTGATTATATTGCTCAAATTGACTTATTGTTTTTCTTTTGTAGCTAACCACAAATGTATACGT